GTTGTTGTTAATCTTTTAACTTAATAAAATTCAAAACTCATCAATTTCCAGGCACTCTCTCTCACCTCTCCAATCAATCAATCAATCAATCTCTATCTATCTATCTATCTATCTATCTATCTATCTATCTATCATCTATTCATGCATACATCATCTACCTATCCACCTAATTTATATACTGCCCGATTCCCTATGACACTGGGCTGCAAGAGGAGTGTGCTATGCAAGGGTTAGTGTGGGATGAGACCCATAGCTCTCTATAAATTCCCCTAAGCTAGGACTTCATGCGCAGTGCAGGACAATGTCCCTTCAGTGGGATTAAAGTGAGATTCAGCTGCCAGTCCTGCTTGCTGAACGTGAGCTGGGGAAGAAGGTCCCATCTTATTCTTTCTTTTCCTCTCTGGCAGCTGAATCTTGTGAGGCAACCCTGCTCGTAGCCCAGAGAGCTCTGGGCCATCCCATCGCAGCTTCTCTTCCCCGCTCTCTTCCAGCATCACTTCTCCCATAGATGTTCTCCCACCTTTTGTTGAAGCTGCCGGGCTCGCCAGAGCGCCCCTCGCTGCTGCAAGAGCCTTACTGTGCTGTGCTGGCGCCTCAGCCTCACTCTGCGCCCATTCTGGACTCCGTTGTAATATTCCACACAATCCACAGGCGATTCTGGCCGCAAAGGACCCTGTCACCAGGAGGAAAATAGATCTCACTGTAATTGTTACAGACAACTGTGCCTTTCTTCCTTGGCCACCCAACAACCCAAATGAGCTAAAATCTGCAAGGGTGAAATGGAAGGGAATCATATTCCCCTATACAATTTATGGTTTGGATCCTTTGCTTGAACCATCTGGACTGCTTCATTAACCCAAAGTAGGCAACCTGAGACCCCATGGCCACGTCTGGCCCCAAGTCCCTCTTAAGAGCCCTAAAGCCATCTTGAACCACAGCTGCCAAAAAGTAGTCATGGTTTCTTGTCCATGTAATGGGCAGAAGGAATATCCTTAAGGAACAGGATGAAGAGTCGCAGCCAAGACAACAGTCTGATAAAAGAAATCTGAGTCTGGGCCAGAACTGTAACCTGAGAAAGCGACTCAGACAAGAACCTCCCTAATTCTCATGAAGATAAAGGGAAGGAGAGGGGAAGCGCATTTAGATTTGCAAGATTCTATTACTACAACCTTGTAATAAAAGTAGTATTAGCTTGCATGTCTTTGGTTTCCACGTTTGGTCTATCTTGGAGGGCTGACAGCCACTAAGCCCTCAAAAATGAATCAGTAAATACATACATGCCAGCACCATCCACTTTGCATCATCACCACAACCCTTTTGAGTGCAGCCCTTGGACCCTGAAAGTCTACCTAACACTACACTAAACCTACAGGCAAGCCTGTGACTGCCTGACTTTGCTCATCCCTTTTGCTGGGAAAGCATGATTTGGGCGGTATGTGTTAACCTATCAGAGGAACAAGAAGGGCAGCATGCAAATGAATTTATCATTAATTGCTGATGCATGTATACTACTGAGCAGTGTTTCTCATGCTGGCTGGGGAATTCTGGGAGTTGAAGTCCACACGTCTTAAAGTTACCGAGGTTGAGAAACACTGCTACCGAGGATCTGAAAGCAGTATTTAGGCCAAGATGTGATCTCAGTATGTGCCTAAGAGAGAATAAGCAGCTCCTGTATCAGGTAATGCCATGCCAAACTCGACTCTGCCCACCTGGTCATTTAGAGCAGGCCTGTTGTGGGACTCCTCCTTGAGAGATTTGTGGGGTCTGGGCCAGGCAACAGGCCATCTTTGTATTGACCCCCATTTTATGGACCCATCTGGGGAACAGAAGTCCTCTACTCTACAAGTGTTTTGAAAACAAGTCAAAAGCAGCACTGTTCCTGGAGATATTTCACCCTTAGGTTGTGAGAATGGTGCCTTTGATGCCTTTGTTTTTTAATGGTTGATTTCTATTATGTACTGTATATGAATTTGGTTTTGGGGGGACTTTGTTGTACCTTATCCAGAGTCTCTTAAGTTTGGGGTGGACTCTAAGTATTGTAAAAATAAACAGGCAAATATACCAGCCTGTTGGACCAGACAGGGGCAACCCAACATCTCTTTTAAAGCAGCCCCTCAGCACCTTGAGTCTGCACCCACAAGATTTGGTGGTACTATTTCAGCTCATGGGTGGGGTTCATCCCTGCCCCCAAGTTCAAAAAGATCAGGCTGAAAATTGTCAGCTCTATTCTTTCTGGCATCTCTGGGTAGCCTCTTTCAGCCTTTTAGTAGGCTGGGAAGACGGGTTGTATCCCCCAGCACTCAAGCATTCTCCAAATTTGCCTTAAGCCAACCTTCTAAGAGACACCTGCATCCTTTTCCTTTGGACCAGCCTTTGCTGGCTAGGGAATTCTGGGAGTTGAAGTCCACATATCTTAAAGTTTCTAAGGTTGAGAAACACTTTTGGACTAAGATCTCTTAAACAAATGACAATGGTTTCCTAGACACAGACAATGTTGCAGGTGGATACATTCCCTCATCCTTTGCCTGACAGACTTACTGGGAGATCTTCATCGGTTGGAGCAAGACCTGTGGCATGCTCAGCTTCATACATGTAGTAGTCCAAGGGCATACAGAAAAACCCAGGCTGCACATCATCACACTGACGACCTATAAGGTGGGGCCGACAGGGACACTGCCCATCATTCACAGAGCATCTGGAGTCAGAAAGCACAATAGCAAAAAACTTGTTTTAGTGAAATCCTTGAACAATGTAAGCAGAACGGGACTGGCAAAAAGCAGGCAACATTCAACATTGCTCAACGGTGTCACTGACTACATAATGCATAAATAAGTACAGTATACAATATTAAAGGACAGGTCCTCTCCTAACATTTCTTGCGGCAATCTTGTGGTACGCCTACTATGGTGCTTCTCATCAAGATTCATAATTAATAATCCAGCCTAATGGGAGTTACCATCAAAGATCATGACATTCAGGACAGATAAACAACATGGATTAAGAACTGCAAAGACAGGATAGAGGTGCAAACTGAGATGTGGAGAAGAGATCTGGTGACTACATTGGCACTGTCTGCCTATTATTGGTCAGGAAGGGAGCCTGATTATTGAATGCATCTTCAAACAAGGCATCCTGGTTCAATTAAGCTTTGCCTTGGCAAGCAAAAATTCATGGCCAAGTCAGTCCAGGGCTGGATGCAGTAAAGAACATCACATTTCCATAGCACCGTGGCTCTCCCCAAACCTTTAGATTCAGTCTTGCAAAAAACCCATGGATGTTATCATGGCAGACAGGTGATGCTCCCACTAATGGAGTGCCAAAATTCCACCCACACCCTCTCTCGCAATCCTTCTCTTGGCTTGCCGTGTTCAGTTTTGTGATGAGAAAAGAAAAAGCTTTGTCTGCTTGCCTGCCCTAAGTCTGGGTATAAGGTCATAGGGCACTAAGGCAGCTTGCCAGCTGCAGGGAAAGGAGCGCCATGTTCCTGGGAGGTTCAAGAGGAAACTGGCCCACCTCAAAATCCCAAGGAGCTTTAGTATCTTACATCTCAAAATAGCTGTTTGGTGAGTGGAGATGTTGGCAGTTGAGCTGAAAGAAAATTGGCCCAGTTGCTCAGCAGGGGTGCTAGCATGGGAACCTGGAGATACAGCCTCAACCTCACTCCCCTGTGGAAGTGCTCAATGCTGCATGCTGAATTAGCCAGGTCTCTATGACCTCAATCTCAGATGGTTGGTTTACCCAACTGAAAAAGAAGTGTAAGTTGGGGGGCACGAAGACACTGAGTATAATTTTTACTGTAACTATTGGTAAGTTAAGCAAGGCCTGTGAGAAACACTGAGAATGCAGTAGATTGGATCCCGAGGATCAGCTCCTGTTCCCAAAGCACTTTGGGCTGGTTCCTGATGGTTTTCTCAAATTCATTAGGGGAGTGTTTCTCAACCTTGGCACCTTTAAGATGGGTGGATTTCAACTCCCAGAATTCCCCAGCCAGCATGGCATGGCTGGCTGGGGAATTCTGAGAGTTGGTCCACCATCTTAAAGTTGCCAAGGTTGAGAAATACTGCATTAGGGTATAGTCATTATTTGGTGCAATTTCAATCAGTACAAAAAGAATTTTTTTTTCCCCAAGCTGCATGAAATGGAAGTGTTCTACACATCTGAGTTACTTTGAATAAATAAATGAACGAATAAGCATTTGTCTAGAAACATTAGGTCATAACCCCGTTATAATTCACAGCCGTGCACAAGCATAGCACGGAGTCTCTTACAGAATCATAAATTGCGCTCTTTATAATGAAATTTAGAAAACACGAAATCAAAAAGTAAAAAAAAGTTTACATGTACTCTTGCTATCAAAAAGCTACAATCCCTATTTGTGCGCAATGCTAAAAAGTGTTTATGGCTATGGACTGCTTAAAGGTGTCAGTATTGTTATGGAACCTGGCCACTAGCAACCGAGTCCATTCATGCAGCTCTATTTTCAGGATGTGTCAATTCAGAATTCTCAGCGGTGGAGAAGGAGACCATCTCTTGGGAGCCGTTTAAAATGTTTCCTTCTGCCCTGTGGTCTGTACTCACTGCAGTCCTACCTATTGTCGTAGGCACCTCCAAAATCACAAGCACAACTTCGGCAGCCGGTCATATCGTAGCTCAAACCCCAATATTCAGGCTGTGAAAGAGAAGGACCAACGCACGCATTAAGGGTTGGGCTCAAAGTACGCACAGCACAAACCCTGTTGATACAGCACTCACTCACCAAACACTGGTTGCAGTATTGCCCAGTTACAAAACGCTTGCAATAGCAGTTGCCGCTGATCTGGTCACAGGGGCTGCTGTCTATGGTGATCCCACGAGGGTCACACCTGCAGGCTGAGAACACATACCAGCAGTTTCCATGGGTAACCTGATCTTTAAACAGTGAGGTAGGCAACCTGAAGCCCATGGGTGACACGCAGCCCTCAGCCCCCACTTGGCAGCTTGCAAAGCACCACCAGATTGTGTTGCACGTTTCTTGCTTGAACATCTTCCCTCCCAAAAGCCCAACCCAGCAGACACGATGGCTGCAGAATGAGTAGGAACACCCAACTGCTTTGCTCCACCCAACATGCTACAACCACAACATTCAGATTTTGATAAGGGAATTCATTTAGTACAAGGCATTTCTTCATTTTGCTGCAAAGAAGTCATTGCTAAAGGATTTTCATTCCAGTTGTTTTGCCTAAAGAAAAAAAGCTAGAAATCAGGGAGTACTGTTTAAGTAAATATAGATGGGGGGGGGGAAGGCTGCATAAGAGATACTGCACTCATAAAGCCTAGTTCCCTAATCTTTTTAAGTCAGTGGGCACATCTGGAATTTTGAGAGCATGTTACAGGTACTTTCAAAGAACGGCTGTCATGGTGGGCATAGCCTATCACTCCCATTTGTCTGAAGGTAAACAAAGCACCAGACTTCACTTTTTTTTTTATCTTCTACAAAACGTATCTGGGGACTCCATGGGCTCTAGGCTCCAGAGGCGTTGCTAGAAATCTAGATTAAGCATGTTCACTTTTTTATCTTCTTCTTTTTTAATTAAAGCAATGCATCCTTAGCATGTGTGTGTGTGCCCCCACTCTCATGGGCTTCAGGAAGAGTGTGAAATCTTGGCTATGCCAGATGGCCTGGGGGCCGGATGGGGGCTCACACCAGTGGAAGTGGCTTGTGGGGTAATTGATTCTACCCCCCCCCCGTCATCTTGAATGTTTTTAGTTTTTTATGTATAGGGTTTGCTTTATATAGTCTGACTTTTTAATTAATTAATGTGGGTATTTATTTTTTAACTGTTTTTGGGTTTTACTCTAATTGTGAGTTGCCCAGAGTCACCCGCTGGGGGAGATGGGCAGAATACAAATCAATCAATCAATCAATCAATCAATCAAATAAATAAATGGGTCAGTACACTGTATATCCCTCAGAGTTGGTGGGATATGAGCAACAGTAAGCATGTTGGCTTGCAAGATAGTCTCTAGTTTCAGAGATCCTAGCTTGCACAGAATAGAGCAAGCACCCTTGGGATAAAACTGGACTGTGGTTGCCCTTGTGGCACAGTAGCCTAAATGTTCCAGAAACTGACTGGCATATGGTCTGAGTATGCCTAAAGTTGATAATCTTGTTCATACCTTACCTACGTTACTTAAAAGCCTTATGTGAAAGCCTTGATTGACAAAGCCATGATAGATGGTGGAGGTCAACATCTATAGACTCATCTGGTGAAGCTCACAACAGAAGGAAGATTGAGACTTGGAATGTAAGAGGATTAAATGGTAGTGAGCATAAATTAATGAGTGAAATGAAACAAAGAAAAATAGATATATTGCGTACCCATGAAATTAAGAAAAAGGGGAAGTAGGTAACTATTCTAGAGTGACTGTTCTCCACTGGAACTCAAGGAGTGTGATATGTGGCCCCACTATTCCTGCAGCCACAAGGTTTCCCCAGACAGTCTTGTTACTTACATTGGCAGCCAAGAGGATCACTGAGGCTCAGTCCATAAAAGGCTTCTTTGCAGCTGTCACAACGCACGCCTTTGACATTCTCTTTGCAGCGACACTGTCCTGCAATCATGCCCAGCGTTGCATCTGTATGACTGTCACACACACCTCCATCCAAAGAGCCCACTGGGTCACAGTCACAGGCTAGGGGGTGAAAGAGAAATAATGTTTGTGTGGGGGAGAAAAATGAGGAAGTTAGTCAGAACAATGCCACACCGCCATTCATTTCATTTGCAAAGCATGCTGAAGGCACGATAAAACCAATCCTCATTGATGGTGATTTCCAGAAGTAGTTATTATTTGTTGAAATCTCTCTTCAGGTTGGAGCTGCTACAGCTTCAGGAGGACTGGGGGCTAACTTGGGCTTTACAAGCATTTTTAAGACTTTCTGGGTCCCTGATGAAACTGACTGGTCCATGTTTTTCCCACTTTCTCCTCCATGAGGAGAAAAACACGTGCTAGGAGGAAGGGGCATGACTGACAAACACAATGGAACATGCATTCTGGATGGGCCCAGTGCACAGGAAAAGCAAAACATTGATTCTCTGAGGGTGGCCAGGAACTGGATCTTTGCATTTTGCCATATGTGAGCTCAGACTTGACATTGGCCCATATGATTCTTAGCTTTCTGGCCAACTGTGTATTATGCAGGGGTGGCCACCATATTGACTTTCCTGACCCCTTCCCTTCAGACACCCCTGGTGTTGAGGGATCAGAATGGGGGGTCCATGGAAAGAGAATCCAAACAGAGACATTGTGAGTAATCCCAGATTTATGTTTCAACCAGAAAGCAGGGATATGTTTCTCTTCTCATACATCCACACTGCTATTACAAAATGGTAGAGGGTGGGACAATTCCAGCCAGGTTCAAAAAATGTAGGAAAGATAATAGATGAATTTGAATCTTTTGCTGCAGATATCTAGATATAGGCAATAGGAGCTATCTAATTTGTTCAGTCACTTCACTGTATAGGAAGAAAAGGAAATCTTGAGACCAGGATATTCACTGCATCCAATATACTGGAAAACAGCTGGTGGGAAAAGATGAATTTACTCCAGTATGGACCTGTATGTACCCTAAATGGATTAGATACTCCCACTGTTAGAGCTGAATAAACTATTGCCTGTACAAAATTCTCTTCTAGCTTACCTTAAGATGCTCATCTGATATCTTTTCTGATTTTATTGTTTTTTAGCATTAGGCCCATAACTTTTATTTCTTATACATTCTATCCAGATCATTTTATGCTTGCTCAAAAATATTTGCATTTCTCCCTCTACTAAAAAAAACCCAATTCTCTAATTGTACCTGATCCAAGCATTTGTTTCACCATGGACACATCCGTGCTAAGAAGGCCTTTGATAAACTGATTAAAAAAAAAAATCCCTTATGCATCTCCTTTGTGAGTGCAAACACTCTTATGTAGTCCCCATTAACCGAGAAATGCTGCCAAAAAAGAGATAATAGCAATAGGAGCAAATGACTTGGCCACCTTTTAGCTGAGCCACCCTATGTTCCACGCCATATCCCAATGGCCTTGTGGCAGGCTCATTTCTGTGAATTATATGGAAGTGGAAATCTAGTCAATGGATGTAAGAGGTAGACTGTTTCTCCATATGTTACCTTTCTTGGTTTTGGAAGTAGATACCAAATTAATGAGTCAGCTCAACTGGAGAAAGACCTGATTAAAACCCATTCAGATTTGGGGGAGGGGGGAGGACTCCTGGACTCACTGTTAGTTTACTGACAGTGCAATTCAAATCTCCAATGATTGTCGGTTGGCCATCATTGCTATTCAAGAACAAAAAGAAAGATCTACTACCAAATTATCAGCACCCCATATGTCTTCTTGGTATAATTGGCAAAATCTATGTCAAACACTTGTATTGGAAGTTGCAAAAGTAGCTGGTGATGGAGAGTATTTTAGCAAACAAGCTGGCTCAGAATAGGGCCCTTCATCGGGGTCCAGGTCTTGGTTTTCCATACCCTGGTGGAAAAAAATTATTATTTCCTTAAGTACTGTAGATCTTAAGCAGGCATTAACCAAGAAGATTGTATAGCAGAAGTTACAGCTTCCTCTGTTGCTCAGCACCTGTTTCACTTTCCTTCACATTTTGGAAGTGATTTCAAGAAATAGGGGAATAAAGCAAGGTTGTATCCTTGCTCTTCTCCTATTTAACATCTACATTAATCTTACAGTGGGTTTTTCTAAAAAAACAAGTCTCATCCCCCAAACTACCAAACAAGAGCTGGCTTGAGAGTAGTGCATTTGAAAAGGATCTGAGTGTTTTAGTAGAACACATGATAAACATATGCCAACAGGTGATACAGCTGTTAAAATGGTCAGTGTGTTAACAGAGGCGTAGGGTCCAGATCATAAGAAGTAATTGCCCCCCTTTAGTTTATCCTGATCAGTCCCCAGTTGCAATACTGTGTTCAGTGATGAATGAATTCAGAGGAGTGTGTCAAGGAACCCTGACAAGGCCTGAAGCTGAGGAGCAAGGAGGAGAGGTAAGACAAGAGTATTGACCAATGGGAAGAGCACCATCCTCAAGATCCACACCCTCCAGAATTCTCATCTGAGCACCAGTTTTAGATCTGAGTTGGACTAATTGCTAAAGAGAGAGAATGGGATGGGATCATAGGGTGCAGAATCATACTGGGAGCAGCAGAAAACACCTTGTGTGCAAGCACCGGTGAATCAAATGCACAGACCATTCCTTACCGTATTTATATCTACTGGGTTCTGACAATTTATTATATAATCTACTTCAAATCCTGTTCTCTGGAGGAAAGCTGGAATAATATCTAACAAACAGCAGTGCCTCTTATACAGATCAACAAATCCTGGAAGTGCTTTCAAATGGGAGCACCTGATTGCTGACAAGTCTGAAAGTTGCTAGCAATTTAAATCATGGGCATTTAAAATAGGATTAAATTTGGTCAATGAAAAATAGAAACTTTTCAGTTTTACAGAATGCTTCTCAAAGCAAATGACAAAGCCACTCGCTTTCAGCCATATACAGATCCAGATTATTCCTCTTTGCTTCTGTCACGTCAATCACGTATAGTGACAAGGAGAAAGTGACATACTTACGAATGCATGCTGTTTCGGCCCTGATGTCAGCCAGTGGGTTGCGGTAGAAGAATGGCTTGCAGATCTGGCAGTGGCGGCCCATGGTGTTGTGCTGGCACTCATCACAGACCCCACCACTGGAGTTGCCCGTGGCCAAGTACACAGCTATGTCAAAGTGGCACCGGTGGGAGTGTTCATTGCAGTTGCACTCTGGGGAGAAGGCAGGAAGGCGGTTCAGGTGCCTGCATTCCACTCATGTCCATTCTCTTCCATGGATCCTCACCCAAGACAGCCCCCTAATCTAACAATACTTATTCCAGTAGAGCCCAAATAAAGCATGACATAGACTAACCACCATCTGACCTGAACCTTTGGGACTCTGAATAGTCTCAAGTCATGCCAATAATGGTGCTCCCACAGACCAAGGAGTATCACAAAGGAGCAAGGTGGGCAAGATGAAGGAGCCATAAACTGGAGCAGAGAAAGGTCCAGGTGTTTCTGCAATGGGGCTGGATGGCCATCCAAAAGAGGAGGCTGGGTATCCAGATCTTAACTAGATGTGAGATTCAGAATACTATCCAATTTAATAAATCAGTAAGTGCACCCACAGCTAAAACTTTTCAGGGCTTGTGGTCTTGGCCAGTGATGTCACCATGTGCTCCAAGAGACTGCAATGACTCCCGCTGTGCAATTCCTAACTGCTCCATGCAAACACAATGGCCTAGCCCTCACCCCACACCTTTGCAAGCATGTGGATTGTGGACCTCAGCTGGACTCCAAGGCAAATCCTGATAGAAATCCTTGCAGAACTCACAGTTGAGACCCTTGGTGTGGTGCTTGCAGACACAACGTCCCTGGATCTGGAGCAGAGGAGACAGATAGAATGAGCTTCAGGGCTTTGCACACCAACTAGCAGGACAGCAGAGTGTCTCTTAGCATAGAGATGCTTTTTTAAAAAAGCACAAATTTCTGGGTGTAGAGAACTCCCAATACAAGCTAAGCTCACATAAACTTCATGTGGTTCTCAGCATATGGTCAGGATCTGCAAATCCCCAATCCTACTACAGATTCTAGATGCAGCTAAAGAATTCATGTATCTTGATATTTTTTAAAGAGTGAGTTCCTAGTCTTGATCCTTGTGAAAAACAGTAAGCCTGAAAAGTCTACATCGATTTTATGCCAATCGGGATGAAAATTTACTGGGAGGGATATTAATTTCACACACACATTCCTTTCCATGAGGGCTATGCATGCTTCAAAAATCATTCAGAAGAGGTGCTTCAGCATGCATGACTGCATGAGTTGCCTGAAAAAGACACAGCTGACATTAAAGATGGGGGTGTTTTAATGAGTCCAATACCCCAATCTACTACTGTGCATTCTTGTTTTCCTTTAGCATTCTATAGGTACAATTCTTTTTCCATCTCTATTAGTTTGCCTCCAGTAGTAATGGCTGTGAGAGCTGGACCATAAAGAAGGCTGAGCGCCGAAGAATTGATGCCTTTGAACTGTGGTGCTGGAGAAGACTCTTAAGAGTCCCCTGGACTGCTAGGAGGTCAAA